CCCTCTGCCCTCAAAAGCACCTTGGAGTCTCATTCCCACCCCAAGCCTACTAAAGAGAATCTCTGGGCAAGAGGACTCCTCCGACAAAAAAATCCCCTGATGACTCTCTGATGAAGTGACTGGGAGACACTGGTTTACATTATTCCAAGTTCACTTCTGCATCAAAGAGATAATGATTCCATACTTATTGACGAAGTTTCTATAGAACAACCCAGAAAATATTCCAATCGTCTTGTCCAGGTCTGTAGGAAGAAGGCTACTCACTTTTTATTGTTCCTTCAGATTTTCTCTTTCTTATTCATTTTGCATATTTATTAAACATCTATCAAGTGAAAGGTTCTGCCTCAAATAAGCTGAGGAACAGAACCTTTGCCACAGGAAGTATATGGGGAGATAAGAGATGTGCATGAGGAAATATTCAAGAGAGGAAATGAAAAATACCTTAAAATCTCTCCTTTCTCTCCCTATACTTTGCCTGGTGAGCAAAAGATACAGTTAGAGGAGAAAGAGCAATCAGAATTTCTCTCCACCTCTGCAAACCCTGGTGGGACCTCACATGCAGCCCCTTTGGCCCAGAGAAACACAGGGATACAGTGTTTGCCCTGTACCTTCCCAGTAGCCACTGTCCTTCCTCCTGATAGCAGCTGTTCCTCCCTCATCTTGCTCCAGAGCTCTGGGTGGGTCTCTGCCCCAGCTCTGAGGATGTAGCAGATGACACAGGTCCAGCCAATCACAGAATGACCTAGCCCTGGCCTGAGATCAATTTAGGGATGTGCCCCTGTGCTAAGCTAGTCCAGTCAGAGCTACTTTCTCAAAAGTCTCAGGACTTTTGTGGGAGCTTCTAGGAAAAAAACTCTTGGCTTTTCTTGTTGAAGGAAATGGAAGGGGGAGTAAGAACTGCTGAGGTCACTGTAGCTATCATGCCACCTAGAGGAGAGAGCCTGGGCTGCAACGGCCCACCCCAGGGAGCCCCCAGTAAACAAGGCCAAAAGAGCAGAAGGCAGAGTGGAGAGAAACCAAGTCCTAATGAGGGTCTCTGGGTCCTGAATCCAGCCGTATCTGCAGCCAGAGCTACTCCTGGACTTTTCATTTACATGAATCCATAAATTCTTTCTTTTTTTTTTTTTTTACTTAAGCCAACAGGCTTAATGGAGATGAATTTCTGTTACTTGCAGAGAGAGATTCATATCAACATAGGGACCATAAAGCATGCATTACTATGTAGTTGAAACATACATTAAGTTGTTTTCACATCTATGATTCCATGCGACCTTCACAATGACCTTAAGAGGGAATATGGCAGCTTGGGGAGCAGAAAAGCCCTACTAAAGATCAGAAAACAATGTGTTCTGGGCCCTTTCCATTCAAACTATGCTCCGAGGACCACCAGCAGCAGCATCTCTTGGGACCTTGTTAAAAATACGCAATAACAGCACTACCCTAGACACGCTGAATCAAAGTGCGTTTTAACAACATCACCGAGTGATTTGTAGCACACTGAAGCTCGAGAAGCTCTGTTATAATACTATCTCTGCTGCTTCTTGGCTGGGTGACTATAAGCAAATTACGTGATTTCTCAGGGTTTTTTTCATGCAGACAACAGAGATCATAATAACACACTATAACAATGCAGCTTTAGTGCAAAACCAAAACAGTACTAAGTTTTAATCATAGCTCTTCCAGTAGCTAAATACAATCCTGGGCAACTTACTGAACTTCTATTAGCTTCAGATACCTCATCTGTAAAACTGAGATAATAATAGCTGTCTAACAGGACTGATGTCAGGATTAAATAATGTATGTAAAGTGCTTGGTACATTACTTGCTCCAGAGTACCAGGACTCAATTAAAGGTATATATTATTGTTATTGTTTTACTCTTATAATTACTGCTATTATCCACCCTACACACCTCACAGGGTATGGTGAATTATGAGACTCAAAAGATAATATATGAAAAAAATGCTTAAAGCCAAATTACTCAAAGTATAGTCCTTTCCTGATCTGTAAACTGAGGTTCACAGAGGTTAAGCAACTCTTCTAAACTCACCAAAGCAGGAAGTGGTAGAGCCCAGGCTGACATCACCATCTTCCAATCTGGGATAGGTCACATGGTTGTCAGTGGTTCTTTGTTTATTTGCTTTTACTCCCACCAGACTGAGCTCCTCGCCCGCTTGCTACTTCTACCTCCATGGCACCTGGCCCAGTTCCACCCACGGTGAGCACTCAGTGCACATTTGCTGAAAGCAAAACTTGACCATCTGACCTCTTTAACCCGTGTTTTTTGCACCACCCCAAACTATCTCCCTCAGGAAGGTATTACTATGCTTTGGTACTTTAATTTAAGAAACCGATTACTGCCGTTAATCTTAATCAGAAACTTATGACAACCTCTCATTTGGAGACCAAAGTTCCACTGGGAACTTAGTGTAGAAATTCAATTCTAGCCCCGAGGGGGAGAATCCAGGAGAACAGGAACTTTGGCTGGATACAGAATGGGGTGGGATCCTTACTTGTCTGAAAGAAGCAATATACTTTCATTGGCGGGGGGAAAAAAAAGCCAAGTTCTGCCGGAAGGAGAACTGTTAGCGAAGGAACTTTAGAGGCAATGATGCAAGCAAAGCAGATTCAGGACTCTGGAAGCTGGTTGACACAGTACCCATCTACATATGGAGACTTGTCAGAATGCCAGTCCTAGCCACTGAGCCTTTGTCTTCTGACTTCAACCTTGAAGGTGGATTAAGGCCTGTGGGTCTTGGACAAAATGGATCCTAAGTCAATGTGGAATGAGCTAAAGTGAACAGGAAAATCCCTATTAAATGGAACAGTAGAAAGTACAAAATAAGAGGGTAGATTTAAACACAAATATAGCAATAATTACAAGAAATCCAAATAGACTTGGTGCTCCAGTTAAGAGAACTCCTGCAAACCAATAAGAAGACACAATGCAAAAGAAAAGCATGGGCAAATGACTTGAAAAGAAACATCCCATCAAAGAAGATCCAGATGGAACAGCCAACAAACAATGAAAAAGTGCTCAACTTCCATGCACAATTAGGAGGATAAAATACAAAACTGTGATAAACCAGCCAGGTGCAGTGGCTCACACCTGTAATCCCAGCACTTTGGGAGGCCGAGGTGGGTGGATCATGAGGTCAGGACATTGAGACCATCCTGGCCAACATGGTGAAACCCTGTCTCTATTAAAATACAAAAAAAAAAAAAAAAAAAAAGCCAGGTGTGGTGGTGTATGCTTGTAGTCCCAGCTACTCGGAGGTGAGGCAGGAGAATCGCTTGAACCTGGGAGGTGGAGATTGCAGTGAGCGGAGATCGCACCACTGCACTCCAGTCTGGTAACAGAGCAAGATTCCGTCTCAAAAACAAAACAAAACAAAACTCTGATAAACCATGATACTCTCCAAGATAGGCAAAAATTTAAGAGTTGGACAAGACAATGTGTTAGCAAGAATGTAGATCACTGAAAACTCTTTTTTTTTCTTTTTGAGATAGAATTTCACTCTTGTTGCCCAAGCTGGAGTGCAGTGGCACAATCTCAGCTCGCTGCAACCTCCACCTCCCAGGTTCAAGCAATTCTCCTGCCTCAGCCTCCCGAGTAGCTGGGATTACAGGCGCCTGCCACCATGCCTGGCTAATTTTTGTATTTTTAGTAGAGATGGGGTTTCACCATGTTGGCCAGGCTGGTCTCGAACTCCTGACCTCATGATCTGCCCACCTCAGCCTCCCAAAGTGCTGGGAATACTGGCATAAGCCACCACGCCCAGCCGAAAACTCTAATACACTACTAGGAGGAGTATAAATGTGAGACAACTAATTTTGGAAAGAGCTTGCTGTCATCTAGGAAAGTTGAGGTAAGCATGCCTTATGATGCAGCTATCTCAATCCTAGTTATGTATGTACCTCTAGTTGTCTGCTCAAGTGCATATATACCAGGATGACATGTTTGAGAAGGTTCAGATTAGCCTTGTCCCTAAAACAACTCAAATGTCCATCAACAGTAGAATGGACAAATTGTATAGCCATACAATGGAAATGTATATAACAATGAAAATAAATAGACACACCCAACAACATGGATGGCATCATGTTGAATGAAAGAAGCAAGATCTGTAAGAACACAGCATGATTCCATTTATGTAAAGCTCAAAAACAGGCAAAACTAAACCATGATATTTAGGGAGGCATATACAGGTGGTAGAACAACAAGGAAAAGCACAGATATGATTATCGTTGAAGTCAGGAGAGTAGACAGGGAGGGGTTGAACATGAGGAGGGACTCACAGGAGCTTCTGGGTGTGTCTATATTCTACTTCTTGACTTTGGTGGTGGTTTTATGGGGTTTATGAGATCTCACCCATTATTACTTTTTAAACCGCACAATGTATAATCAGCCATTTTTCTGTGTGTTCTGTTATACTTCACAATAAAACAAAAGAGAAGGGAAAGAAAAGAAAGAAATGTAGATCAGCTAAAACAAAAGCAAACCCTGGTTTGGAACTATTTGAATGCATTCCCGAGTTCTGACAGTGGCCAATTCAGCCAAGGACTGCTTAGAAGGGCTTCTATGAGGCTTAAGACGTAAATATGAAGGAGAGAGAAGAGAGCAAGAGATCAAGGGGGTGACAGAGGAAGAAAAAGTTACTGAAGGTCTGTATAGGTAGAGAAGGTTGTATTCAAGCGTTTATGCCTGGAACTCCCAGAACCTTTCCCTTCTGACTTAGTTCCCCTGTAAACATCTTCTTCTGGAAAACTTTCCTTGGCTCCCAGGTAGACTTAAATGCCTCTTTGCACTTTGTATTTACCTCAAAAGCACTTTTCTCGCCATGCTGCAATGGTTTGCCTCAAGATCCTCAAAGGCAGTGTGTCATTTCTGAATCTTTTCCTATCCTCTCCTTTCCACCAGCATTTAGGTCAGTGCCTAACAAGGAGGAGAAACTCATCTGGTGCTTGTTGAATGACTGAATGAACAAGATAATGCTTTACCTTGAGCTGCAATTCCTTGTATCTCTTGGACATCCGAATGAGCAACTTCTCACCATTGATCACAGCAGATTTTTCTTGATAATACTGGACCATGGCCTGTGCGGCTTCTGTGTAAGCCATCTCTAAAAAGGCCTAAGAAAGAAAGGAAGGACACTCATTGGACTTGACTTTAATGGTCTTAAACAAGATTCAGTACAAGGCATGATTCCATGTCTATGAAGTTCAAAAACAGACAAAACTAATCAATGGTGACAGGAGTTAGCATTGAGCTTCTCTCTCAGGTGGGGATGGGGAACTGATGGAGAAGAAGCATGAAGAAACCTGACATTCTGGAAATGCTCTATATCTTTACCTGGGTGTTAACTATATGGGTGTACACGTGTAACTAATGGAATTGTGCATGTAGGATGAGTGTACATTACACACTGTAGAGTATGTGTTTTATACCTCACTTAAAAGGAAAAAAAAAGTCAGTATAAAGAAGAGATCTCTTTGATCCCATCTGTTCAAAGAGACCTTTTTATAAACATCACCAAAAGAGCTCATTATAAGATGGCCCTTTCCTGATCCCCAGGGTTACCAGACATTGTTCTTAATTATGTGTGTCTGTCCCGGGCTACATCATGCCATAGAATCCCTCTGAGATGGGAGAGTTCACTAACCCACATTTCCCTGGAGGGGCAGTTGCATATGTGGCCTTGAGCTGATCCCTATAAAACGTGCTATTTGGTGGTGATGGTGACAGCAAGAGACACAAGCTTTGGTTACTTGAGCTCTTACTTTCCTTATAAAGACAGAAACATATTCAAAATTCAGGAACTCACAAACCCCTGGGCTTGAAGGAAGGCCATGTTGTCGTGAGTTACAGAAAAAGGAAAATTCCCCAATCATGTTTCCACAGCATCTTTCTTCTTTATTTAACTGCTCTGATAAACCACAGAGAAATGGGCTTTTCCACTCAATCTGTGTCTACTGAGAGTTCCAAAGAGACTGTCTTGACTGTGCATCAGTTTACCCCAGTAGCTGGTGTGGTGAATTTGTTGCTGCTATTGTTTCTTGGATTTGTTTGGTTTGTACTATACTGACAATATACTGATCCTGATTTCTCAGTGCTACAGGGGAAAAGGGGTCAGTGACAGGGAAGCCCTCACTGTGAGCCCCTAACTCTCTCGTTTCCTTAAACTAAATGGTCTAAATAAGCTCATTCCCTTCCTTCTCTCATATTTATTTCTGAATTTCAGATGCACGGCTTTTCTCCATGCTGTCATAGTCTATGACATTAGCGTGGGCGACTAAGAAGTCAAGATTCTTTAGGGTTTTATTTCACATTCTGCCACCCAGCTTTCTAAGTGCCTCTTTCTTGATAAACATTTTAGCACCTCTAGCTCTCACTTGTCAAATGGGAATAATACTAATATAGGGACTCTCACTACATCAATGTTACAAACTGAATTCTGTGCATTTACCCAAAATAGAATTTCTGAGAAGTAGGAACAGAGACAAGTGAGTAGTCTCACGCCAGGTTGATGGAGAGAGATAGCTGATGACCTGATGTGGCTATGAGTCTCCAAAGTTCAGCCTTCTTTAAGAAAAGAATTTTTCCTATTCCTGTTCCTCTGATTAATAAAGTAAAAATATTCATTAAAAGATAAAATATTCTGATTTTTGACTGTTGGGAGCATAAACTCCCCACCTGACTTTAGAAATGAAGACAAAGGTACTCCATCCCAAAGGGTTCAGTCAACTCTTACAGGTTAAGGATTCTTAGTTCCTTAGATTTACTAAGCATCCAATCATTCTTACACTCCTACTCTCCTGCTGACATCAAGGACCAGGAAAAATACCTAGTCCCAGGTTCTTGGCTGGCTCCAAATCCAGGTCATAAGATAGGATAGGCTTAGAAGATAAGACTATAGCATTAGCTCAGGGGGTTGACAACACAGTGAAGAGATTAAAATCCATAGATTTTTATTTTGGGTGTGCCAATTACCCTTTCTATGTGAATGAGCACCTCATTCCAAAGCACCTCCTCTCACCTCTAGGCAATTCACAAAGGCCTGTATCCATCACTAGAAGGATAGAGTGAAACTAGGGGAAACAAAAAAACAACACCAGCAAAAACGTCTATGCCATGCCAACAGAAGGCCAGCTATGCAACAGCTTTTTATGTTAAGAATGACTTCTTTCAAAAATTATATCGTTCCCTTTCACTAATGTGTGGTATTACACTGGAGTGAAAATACCCAGACCTACCTGATTAGTCGACTTCATGAGGATGTAATTAGTGACCTTTCCGAAGGGCAGCCCCAGGTTAATGACGTCATTCTCAGTGCAGCTTCCTTCAGGGAGATTGCAGATGTGCACCACGCGGCCAGCCCCTTTCCGCTGTGCAAACTAATAGCAACAAGGATCAGTCGCGGTCTTCAGAAGACGGTTCCCTTTTCCCCTCTCTTCCAGACATTCCTAATGGCTATCTTTCCCCCAAACAATGATTGTAAAACTATAATTTACAAAATTAGTGCAGAAAAAATCCATTCACAGACACACATAAAATATCAATTGTATTCTATCTCTTTACAAAAGGATTCATAATATATATATATTTTTGAGACGGGGACTCACTCCCATCGCCCAGGCTAGAGGGCAGTGGTGCAAACACGGCTTACTGCAGCCTTGACTTCTGGACTCAGGTGATTCTCCCATCTCAGCCTCCCAAGTAGCTGGGACCACAGGCGTCCACCACCATGTCACAGTAATGTTTTTGTTTTGTTTTGTTTTGTTTTGTTTGAGACAGAGTCTCGCTCTGTCGCCCAGGCTAGAGTGAAGTGGCGCAATCTCAGCTCACTGCAAGCTCCACCTCCTGGGTTCACGCCATTCTCCTGCCTCAGCCTCCCCAGTAGCTGGGACTACAGGCGCCCATGACCGGGCTAATTTTTTTGTATTTTTAGTAGAGACGGGGTTTCACCGTGTTAGCCAGGATGATCTTGATCTCTTGACCTCGTGATCTGCCTGCCTCGGCCTCCCATAGTGCTGGAATTACAGGCGTGAGCCCCGCGCCTGGCAATAATGTTTTTTATAAGCAGTAACAACCAGGGCTGTGGAGGATATGAGGAAATGAGCATATCCATATGTTGCTAGTGGGAGGTTGAGTATCGATAAACTTTTGAGAATACACTTTAGCAATATTAAATAAAACAAAGTATACAGAGCCCATGATCCTGCCATTCCCCTCTTAGAAATGTACCCTATAGAAATAATAGCACCCCAATATGTGATGGCTTATGTGCAAGAACATTTATTACAGTAATTTATTAGGTGGCAAAAAATTTTGGGAACAGCCTGAATGTCCAACAATAGGGAAATGTTTGAGTAAATGATGGTTTAATCATACAATGGAAAACTACAAACCCATGACAAGAAGGAGGTAAATGTGCTGACATAGAATAATTTTTTTAAGAAGTCAGAATCTTCCTGGACCACTCGGACTAGAATGCAGTGGCACAATCATAGCTTACTGCAGCCTTGAACTCCTAGGCTCAAGCCATCCTCCCGACTCGCCCTCCCGAACAGCTGGGACTACTGATGGCTTGAGCCATCACACCCAGCTAATTTTTTTATTTTTATTTTTTGTATAAACAGGGTCTTGCTGTATTGCTCAGGCTAGTCTCGAAATCCTGACCTCAAGTGATTCTCTCACCTTGGTGATATGGAATACTTTTTAAGACAGATTGTTAAGTTAAAAGCAGGCTACCAAGGGGTATGTGTACCATGATGCCATTTTTGGAAAACAAAACAAAAATATATGAAAAAAGATGAAGCAAGTGTTGTAAAATTTTGATAATTACTGGAATTGGGTGATGGGTATACAAGGATTAATTATACTGGTCTCTACTGTTCTGTATATTTAAAATTTTTTGCAATAAAAAATGCTTAAAGAATGTCAGCACAAACAGACAAAGATGTGGAGCATACATATCAACCTGTCAGTGCTGGTTATCTTCAGAGGAAGGCAGTAAGATGAGACATGCTGAACCTTCTTCATATATACCTCATATTGCTTGACTTACAATTCCAATAAAGAAAAAAGAACACAGAAAAGTTTATGAGAATGTAATATATATGCATTGACATTCACAGCAACAACCTGTGGTTTAGGGCAGTGGTTTTCAAAATATTTTCAGCTTGGAATCCTTTCTTCAGATAAAACTGATTTATACCAATGTATTCAACAAATAAAAGAGCTATTCGGGTCAAACTTTGGGGTCTGGCACCCTGGCGCCACCCCCACCTGGCAGTCTCAAAGGCACCTTTAAGGAATACAGTTTGGAAGCCACCATTTGGCCCTAATCAAAGCTCCTTGAGGGAGGAAGTGTGTCTGTCTGTTTTGTGCAAACCTTAATCAGCCTAGAGTCTCTGGGAGGCTCAAGAATTAGTAACCATAAGCCAACCCAATGTGGAAGAGAACGATATAATTTTCCAAACCTGAAACACATTCTAATAGCATAGTCTCCATTTGCATAATCACAATTTTCTATGTTAAACTGAACTTCAACATCTAATTACATTTGATGTGGGTCCGACTCTGCTAAGGTAATATAGGGGGAAAGTCTAAGATATCATCCCTAACAAGGGCTAATACTTGGGTAATTCTACCATGAAAAGCCCTCGTTTGTCTCATTTGAGCTGAAAACAATTACAGTCCATAAGAATTTCCTTTTATGGTTCAGCCCTGAATTGTAGAAGCCCAAGTGCCTCTTTCCGACCTCCCACTCTGCAATGTCCAGAGATCAAGCACTTTCCCAAAGGGGAGCAAGGATTCAGGCAGCTCCCAGAGCAGCTCCTCATCTCCCTAAAGTGCAATGCACTCTCCATCAGCTAGGAGACTTTGAGTCTGAGCCTGGCTAGTGAGGACTGAACCCTTCTGCAGAGATGAAAGGAGGAGTACTATTAAGAAGCAGAATCTTTGCCTCCCATTAGTGTGAGTGTTCACATAAAGATGCAGACACAGCTGAGCTTTCAAGCAGGGCAGAGTAGCTGGTCCTCTGAGCTTATCACAAGGAGGGCTGAGGCTGGGCGCTCTGCCTGGTCTCCTCTTAGCGAGGCACGTTTCTGCCCCATGTGACTTTGCTGTGCTTGGCCTGTGCTAATGCGTGCTTGGACAACGGAGCAGACACCCAAGGCAGTTCCGGGCCTATCCTGCTCCTGGCCCATCCAGTTGCCTAGTGAACAGGCATGAGGGCCAGTGCCTCTCTCATTGTCTCCTCCAGACTGAAAGGACAACTCGAGAGGCTTTTATTGGAACACAGCACAGCAACTGCGGCTGCTGGGTAGTAGAAAAAACAACCTCGCGGCTGCTGGTCACCAGAGAGAAGTATTCATGCTGTAGATGTCGTTCCCAAAGGCACTAAAGTGAATGGGCCGCAATTAAAATTTCCACTCAAATTTTAAAAAGACATCTGAGTTCCTTCTCTTCCAAGACTTTAATCAGAAATAGGAGCCGGATTTTACCAATTCCCTTGTCGTCATTTATTAAGATACGAATGAGATTTTTAGATTCTTCCAGATAATAGTGACTAGGAGCTTTCCAATTATGAGCTACATCAACTGCAAATGGTTATGGGAGTGCCAAGATATTGATCCCTCAGGCTGAAGGCCAAGTTCCTCCAGTAACCATGAACGGCTTCTTCAGTTAAACCATTTACTTCAGCAGATTATTTTCTAAGTGAGCCATGAAATGAAAATCTTGAGAATCTCTGGGTTAATAGTTTGCTTTTGTGTGGTGTCTGGCTTCAGGGCATGTGGTAAATCCTATCCAGTTAGAAAGATAAATTAATTTTTATGTGTTCTATTCTTTTGTCAATATTTTATTTAGGATGCTTCATCAAGTTCTTTTCTGCCATTGATCTGAAATATCTTTTGGTTGTTGTTAAAGTCCATTTAGGTTCAAAACCATCTATGATTCATACGAGATGTAGAATAGTAAGTATTATCACTCTATTCTACTCTCATTACACTTCACATAAACATTGCTATATGCCACAGGGCATATTTGCCCTATGCCCTGTGGGAGATCTGAATGATGAGGGAAAAAGGGAGGGAGGTAGGGAGGAAAGTGAGAAGGGAAACAGGGGGAGTGAGGTCCCTGAGTGGTACATCAAAAGTATAGTTTGTACATCAGAGGCACTGGCAATCCTGAGTGCCCTTGAGCAAGCATCACCATGCTGTGCAGTAATTCTCAACCTGGGCTCTCTTATAAGCCCTTAAAGGTCTTCGAAGGTAATAATACTACAGGAAGCAGGGGGCTAAACATTATTTTTGACATTGAAAAATGCGAGTTGAGGTCATACTTTGAGTTTCTTTATCGATACGGTAATCTGGCGTTAAATTCAATTAGGCCTGAGGATGCCTCCATACTTTGAGTTCTTATGTAAGGAACTGCAGTTTAGCACATCAACTAGGTGAAAGCCTGAAGTAGTGTACTTTTGTAACAAATAGCTGAGTCTCAGCCAATCACAGCAGCCAAACTTCAGTTAATCACAGGCAGCCGACTGATCAGACCATGTTCAAATTAGGCAAATACGGAGCTGTAACCAATCAAGCTGTTTCTGTACCTCGCTTCAGTTTTCTGCCCATAAATGCTGCCTGCCCACGTGGTGCAGAGGAGCTCTCTGAACCTCTTCTGGTTCTGAGGGCTGCCCAATTAAATTAAACTCTGTTAAATGTAATTCATTTAAAATTTGTCTTTTAACACTGGTTAGCTCTTAGGCTAATCAGAAAGTCTAATTGGTGTGTCTCTGTCTTTGATTAATAAAAATGGGTCACTAGTTAGTTACTTATTAATACAAGTACTTTGGCAGACAAAATCTTTCCAAATCTGAAAATGTGGGACAGTGGCTGCTGGGGGTGGAAGTAAATAATGAAAGGGGACTTGAGCTATAAAAAGCTTGGAACTTTCCAGTGGAAAGAACATCCTGCTAGAAAACAGAGGATCTGGGTTCAATCCCCAGCTCAGCCACTGATTAGGTGCATGACAGAGACAAACTAGTTTCCTTTTCTGAGCCTTAGTTTCCCCATGTCTGGAATGAGGGAGGTGACCTGTAGGTCTAAAGTCCTTTCCAGATGTAAAAAATATATATGCTTATGTGGCTCTAAGTTCTAAAATTCTACTCCTCCCAGACGCCTTGGCAAGCTAAACCCCAAGAACCAGGATAATGATAGCTTTCTCCAAATGTGCTCAGCATAAACAGGAAACCCATGACTTTCCCACTCCCTGTCCCAATGAATGTAATGTTTGTCCTCTCTCTACATGTAATCGGCTGTTAAACCATGCATCCATTTCCAAGCATGTTCATCTTTCAGACATGTTTGTCTGCGTTAGTAGCGGTCTCATCTTT